TGGTTGAGATAATTAGCCATCCTAGAAATCAAGAAACCTTATCAAATTAGCTTTAATTATAGTTTAGGTATGATCTCCGTATACAGTGAGTTTTTATTGCTCAGTCTTCTCATCAATATTTAATATTGTCGGACTTTTTAAATTTTGCTAATCTGGTACATGTATAATAGTATCTCACTGTAGTTTTATACTTCATGGTTTGCTAAGCCTCTTTTCATATTTACCTGTCAGAAAAAATCCTTTTTGAAGTACCTATTCATATATTTTGCATATATTTCTATATTTAAATTTTTTAATTTTACTTATTACTTTTTATTTTATTTTATGTGTATGCGTGTATTGCCTGCATGTAGGTAAGTGCACCTGTGTTGTGCAATGCCCACGGAGGACAGAAGAGGCCGTCGGATCCCCTGGAACTGGAGTTACAGACAGTTGTTAGCTGCCATGTGGGTGCTGGGATTCGAACCCAGTTCTTCTGCAAGAACAGCCAGTGTTCTTAACCACTGAGCCATCTCTCCAGCCTCCTATCTTTAAATTTTTAATCTCTGTGTATATGTCTGAATGTATGTTCAAGTATGAGTGTTTGGGCATGTGCATACAGAGGTCGGAGGACGACCTTGAGCGTCCATCATTGCCTTCCACTTTGTTTGAGACAGGGTTTCTTGTTTGTGGCTGCATATGCCAGGCTAGCTGACCTGCAAGCTTCCAGAGATTCTCCTGTCTCCACTTCCCATCTCACCATAAAAGCACCGAGACTACAGACACATGCTACTGTGCTGTTTTATATGGGTTCTGGGGATATGAACTCAGGTCCTCACATTTGCAAAGCAAGTACTTAATCTACTGAGCTATCTCTCAAGTCCCTATTTTGCACATATTTCTAACTGGATTGTCTGCCTTTATCTTTTTTATTTGAAAAAGTTCTTTACATATTTTGGAAGCAATACTTTTAATAGTTTTATGTACTGAAAATATATCCTTTGGCTTGGTGACTTTCTACTTTAAAAATTTTTATCTTTTGGTAAAATTTCTTTTCCTTTCTTTTTTTGATCCCATTATTTAGACTCACTATGTAGTATATTCTTGGCTGGCCTGGAATTCATTATGTAAACCTTGAACACACAAAGATACACCTGCCTCTGCCTCCCAAGTGCTGGGATTAAAAGCATGCACCACCACACTTGGCTAAACGAAATTTCTTAATTTTAACATAGCCAATGTATCGATTTTTATTAATTAAGCTTCTAATTCTTAAGAAATCCCTTTCTTACAGGCTGGAGAGAGGACTTGGCATTTAAGAGTGCACACTGCTCATAAGTTTGGTTCCCAACACCCACAATGCGCAGCTGACAACAGCCTCTAACTGCAGTTCCAGGAGCTCCATTGCTCTCTTCTGGTCTCTGTGAGCACCTGCACACATGCGCACACAATAAATATTAAATAAATAATGTAAATAAAATAAATTTTTAAATGATAATCTTTGAAAGAACAGAAATTCCTTGTTGAAGTCATGAATCTATCTTCCTATTTTCTGAAAGCTCTATGCCTTTTGCCTCTTGCATTTAAATCATAACTATTATTTTTATCACATATTAATTTCTTCAAATTATGGGTTTAGAGATTGTTGAAAAATCTTTGTTTTCTTCCAAAATAATTATGTGACTTCTTGTATATGAAGTCTTATTATATATGCTCATCACAGGTAGGACTATGACAATTATACACATTTCCCAACATCTTTTTGTCAAGGATGCATTGAACAGTTAGTAAGAGATTAGTAATTCTTCCTTGTCTAACATATCAGCTTAGCATGGGAGGAGAATTATAAACAGCTGGATCAGATCACATGTACGAGTAAGATACATATTTTTTTCTCCTAGAGAAAAGAAGAGTGACTACTCAGCTGTACGGGATAAGCACACTGTTTTGGGTGAACCCCATTTGAGAAGTAAGAGAAACAGGCTGATAGATGATTACCATTCTGAATATGCACATATTTACAAATATTTTTAAAGATTTATTTTTATTTTTATTTATGTGTATGTGTCTAAGTGAATGTATGTGATGTATGCACAGTTGCCTGCAGTACCCAGAAGAGGGCATTAGATCCCCTGAAGTTAGAGCTGCAGGTAGTTCTGAGCCTCCCAATGTGGGTACTGGGAACCAAACTCAGGTCCTCTGGAAAAGCAAGATGCACTCTTAACCACTGAGCCATATTGTAAACATTGTAAATAATGTTCCAGCCCTAATTTACAAAATATTTTAGTGTTAGAATGACATTGTAAAAACTTCAAAAGAGACAATATTCAGACAAGAGGTGATGAATTCTATATAGCACGATACAAGGAATAAAGTTACTCAACAGTAGGTTACCAAAATAGATATGTATGTCTGTGTGGTACATGATATGCAAACATATATTCATGTCTGTATACTTACATAACTATATATCCATGCATGTATATTCATATGAAAATACATATGGAGAAAGAAGCATTTTGAAGAGTATGTCACAGCTCTAATAGGTAGCTGATTTGGGGAAAATAAACTCATATATATTATATATATATATATCCATCCTATGATCTATGACTTTTAACCAAAGAAAATATCCAAGGCAGCAAAAAATTAATACAAAGCAATATAAGAGAATTATTTATAATAGTAGAAAGAACCATGGAAACAAGAAGATATTGAATGTAAGAGAATAGTTGAAATCTGCCATATTCATTCAATGGAATATTATATAGTCATTACAAATAAAAATTAATGACATGAAGAAATAACCACAATAGTACATTAAATAGAAAAATAAAATAAAATTACATACATTGTGATTCATTTTGCTTCCTTTATATTTTTCTTGGTTTTCCAAAATTTTTTCAATGAAATGCACTGTCCATTAATCAAAGATGAAAGCATTAAAATAACTTGCCTACTACAAAAATAAACTAATAAAATTTGGAGCTGGAAAGATGGTTAAGAGTACTTGCTGCTCTTGCAGAGTACCTAGGCTTGGTTCCAGCAGCCATATGGCAGCTAACAACTGTCTGTAACTCCAGTTCCAGGGGATCTGATGCCCTCTTCTGAATGCTGTGGGCACTGCATGCACATGGTAAACAACATATATGCAGGCAAACACTCATAAAAAATTTTTTTTAAACTGGTAAAATTTGTTACTTAGAAATATATGAATAGTAAATACCTGGCTGTCCTTTTTCAGTCCATTGATTGTAGTTTGATTGTGTCAATCTAAAATGTAACAAATATGATTTTTATTTTTATGGATTTATTTTATAATTATATATAAGGGGGGTACGTGCACATGTGAGTGAAAACACCCTCAGATGCTCCAAGAGAGTGTTGGATCTCCAGAGTTGGAGTTACAGGTGGCTGTGAGCTACCTGATATGGGTGTTGGGAACTAAACTTGGGTCTTCTTCAAGAGCAGAACATATTCTAAAGCACGGAGTCATCTCTCCAGCTCAATTTTTTATTTTGGAGTCAATATTCATACATTAGTTCAGAAACTAAAGCATTTTCTTTTCTTTGTTGGGAGGTGATGTTTTGAATAAAAAAAATGTCCTCCATAGGCTCAGATATTTAAATAATTGGTCCTCAGTTGGAGGTACTGTTTCAGGGAGGTAGGAGGTACAGCCCTACTGAAGAAGCACCTCACTAGGGACAGGTGTTAAGAGTTTATACCCTTGCCTCACTTCTAGTTTACTCTTTTTACTTCCTGACTATTGATAGAAATGTAACTAATCAGCTTCCTGCTCTTGCCACCTGCTGCCATGCCATTATGGACTCTCTCTGGAACTATAAGCCCAAATACACCTTTTTCCTTAATTTTTTTTTTTTTTTGGATCGCTTTGAGACAGGGTCTCCCTGTAGCCCCAGCTGGCCTGGAACTTGTTATGTAGACCAGGCTGACCTTCAATTCTTGAGAGCTGGGATTAAAGGTGTATGCCACCCTGCCTGGCTTTAATTTGTTTTTGATCATGGTATTTTATCATAGCAACAGAAAAGTAACTGACACAGGGGTAGTGCTAGGAACTGAAAACAGGACTAGTATACTAGCATTGAGCTAGATTTCTAGTACCTTGAGCCCTTTCTTGAAATTTGTTTTTTATTGTATTTTTGTGTATTTCATATAGAACATCATAATCATCTTTATACCCCCTTCCCCATTGGCTCTCTCCTATAGCTCCCCCACTGGAATTCATACATTCTGTCATCTGTGTTAAGGCCTATCATGTCAAGTCAGTGTCCCCAGATATCCCTCAGTACAAGTTCATCCACTGAGGTCTAGTCAGCCTATTTAGAGTCCCTCCCTTTAAAGAAGATCAGCTCTTTCTCACCCATCAGTAATCAGCTGCCAATAATTCTTCCTCTAATATTGGGGCCTGCTGTCCATTTCCATAGCTCTGTGCTGGGTTTTTGTCTGCTTGAGTTTGCATGGGTCTTGTGCATGCTGACACCACCACTGTAGGTTCATATGTCATGCATCTCCACCCTGGCTCTTACAATCTTTCCGCCCCCTCTTCTGAAATGATCCCTGAGCCCTGGATGGGTGGATTTTAATATAGGACTTCTGTCCAAGCACCCACACTCTGTAGACTCTTATTCTCTGCATTTTGGCCATTTGTGACCTTTTGTGGTCCTGGCCCTCTATTGCATGAGGGAACTTCACTGATGAGAGCTGAAAAAGGCATTAGTGTTCTTTTATCCCTTGTTCTATGTTCCATGAGCCTTAGGTGTAGAGGCTGTATCACAGATGTGCCACTTAGGCGTGGATAATTCATAGTCAGTCTCTGTGTGAGATCAGTTGTGAAACTCTGTAATAATCTCTGTTGACAAAGAATCTTCTTGGATGGATGGTGACTGGGATCCTTGTCTGTAAATTTAAGGATCCATATTTTGTACATAGTAAGAAATTACATTTGTCTAGGGATGTCAAAGCCTTGGTGATTTTTCTAAGATCTATGACCTTTCCAGCTATGTGTATTTGGCTAAGTTTACAGTACCATACATGAGTTTCCTCCCACTGAGTGGGCTTTAAGTCCAATTAGGCAGCTGTTGATTACCCAAGATAAAAGTGCCACTACTGTGCCAATGTCAACTGCTGTGCTTGGTCATTGATGTGATTTTTAGGCCTTGAAGCTGGGATTGGACTATCAATTGATGTGACCCCCAAGGAACAGATAATCCAATGACCTTAAGAGTAAAAATAAATTGGTTTATTTGGGCCAACTATATGGTCTTAAACACCCAAAAGGAAAGTATAACCAAAGATTAAAGTGTTTAGTATACTTTAAGAGTCCATGTGTATAGCTAAAGGCTACATAACAAGAAAGAATGCCAGACAGGAGATACCTTCCTTTGAGTTATTGGCCAGGGTGGACCAAGAGACTCCCAGACAGTGACCCAGCATAGAACTAGGAAAATGAAGAGCAGAACCCAATCTTATCTAAAGGAATGTTGGCAACTGATTGCTGCTAAATGAGGAAGAGCTGATCTTCCTGAAACAAGGGACTCTAGATAGACTGACTAGACTCAGTGGATGGACTTGCACTGGGGAACGGTTAGGGGTACCAACAACACAGTGGACAGTAACAGAGATGACAGAGTATATGGGCTCTACTGGAGGAGGGTGCCATTTGGGATGTGGGTATAAAGATGAGTAAGATTGTTTGGGATGTTCTGTATGAAATACACACAAAAAATCAATAAAAAATAAATAAATTTTAATTTCTTAAAGTTACCTGAATTGCATAAAATTTTGTGAACTTTTAATAGCTGTAACTTGTGAACATTTTGAACTGCTATTCACACCAGAATTGTTAAATACCTGAAAGAAAGAAATTAAGCATTAGATTGTCTATATAAAACAATAATTGTATGTCATAGCTACTCTGGGGTCTCTATGTTAGCATTTCATTCTTATTATCACCACCATTATCACTATCAACTGTAAGCATTAATTGAAATTACTACACAGGAAACAAAATATATTGGGAAACAAAAATGTTTAAGACTTAAATAATTTTATGTTCTTGACAAGTACAGTAACTATTTGTGGTAGTATTTCTACATTTAAGCTAAAATTTTTGAAGTTTACCTTATCCATATTCATGATTAATCAAGTAAATATTATTGCTTTCTTATGTTCTTCTGCAGGCAGAGTTCTCAGCTCCAAGCCATCCTAGCTGACATAGCGAGTTTCCAAGCCAGCCAGGGATACATAGTGAGATCTTGCTTTTTAAAAAGGGGGTTGGGGGTGGGATAGTAGGAGGCAGCACTATCAAGAGGGAAATGAGGAAAATGGGGAGGGAGAAGGAGAGGTTATACAGAGAAAGAGAAAGGAAAGATGGATATATAATGCTTAGGTGGCATAAAAAGCCAAAGGGAAATGTAGCATTTAATAAGTCTACTGAAAAGTACGCATATAAATGTGAGTGCATATATAATAGCTGAAGGCTATAGAACAAAAATCACAGTGTCCAGGCAAGGGAAACCTCTCTTTAAGTTGTTGGTCAGGGTAGTCCAAGAGACTCCCAAATGGTTGCCTCCCAGAACTTGAAGACAGGACCCTACTGCTGAAGACATGACATACTTTGGACACGGGACTTGGAGCAACTGAGCTGGAACTGACCTGGAAGCCTCCTCCCTGAAGACCAGCTCTCACAGTATTCAAAGATACTATGAAAGCTGCTAAGGGAAAAAAACAATCAACGATCTTATCCAGTTGTAAAGTCTATGAACCACAACAATGACTAGCCTAGCAAATTATCTCTATTGGTACAGTACTGGCACTTTTATCTTATGGGGTAATCAACAGCATTCTAATTGGACTTAATACCCACTCAATGGGAGGAAATTTGTGCATGGTGCTGCAAACATAGGCAAGTACATATGGCTGGAGAGCTCACAGACCCTAGAGAAGAATCTACTTCTGTTACTTCCCTAGGCCAAAGTAATTTCTTACTATATTGTAATACGTATCCTTAGATTTACAAACAAGTGTACCTCTCACCATGACTCATCAAAGAAGCTTCTTTTGTGCAACAGGTAGAGACTATTACAAAGTTCCACAACTGTTTAAATACAAAGAATAAGTGATTGTGAGATGCCAGGCCCTAAGTAGCACATCTACAATGTAACCTCTACACCTAAGGCTCAGGGAATATCATGAAAGAGGGGATGGAAAAAAAGGTAAGAGCCAGAGGGACAAGATACTTGCTGTTATTTAAGGCATTCTAGACATAATAGGGAAGCTATACTCAAGAAATCTCCACAAGATTGTAGTCTAACATGATCTGAATAATGGCAAAACCAGTTGACATGCCAAGTTCGATGAGGGAAATTTCAAGGGGTCCCACCTGAGGTTAAAGAGCTGCAGGCAGTCAATAGACGCTGAAAGAGGGAGAATCAATTTTCTCCAGGGACTAGTTACTGGAGAGGTTATCTAATCCCAAGTAGGCAGCCCTAAACAGAAGTATATATGAACACCAATAAATGTATTCAGTGTATTATATAAATATGTATATTTATAAATGTGCATAGGTATATGTAACAATAATAGTCAAAGAAGAGGACAAGACATTGAGAAAGACTGGGGTGTGGAGGAGGTGGAGGAGACTGGGAGGGACAGGAATAATGCAAATACAATACTCTTAAATGAAATTCTCAAAAATAAAATAAAGTACACACAGATATATAACATATATATTATATATGTGGTGATGGCAATGGAAATGTTATGGAACAGACAGAAGCGATAGTTGTGCAATCTTCTATGCTAATGAAACCATTGAACTTATACTTTTAAAAATAAATTTTATTGGGCTGGAGAGCTGGTGCAGCCACCAAAGGCTCAGGCTTACAACCAAAAATAAATTTTATGAAATAATATTTATTTTTATTTTATGTGTATGAGTATATTGCCTGCATATATGTTAAGTGCACCTGTGTCGTGCAATGCCCGTGGGGGTCAGAAGAGGGCATTGCATCCCCTAGAACTGGAGTTAAGGATGGTTGTTAGCCACCATGTGAATGCTGGGAATTGAACCTGGGCCTCTCCAAAAGCAGCCAGTGCTCTTAACCTCTGAGCCATCTCTCTCTAGCCCTTAAACTTACAATTTTAAGTGATAAATTTCGTGGCATTCAAGTTATACCTCAAAGGAGGAATTTTTCTTTTTAAGTAAAAAAATGAATTTTTTGACACCTGGCAATCCCTGAGGATAGGTCCTCTTATGATTCCTTTTAAAAAAAGAATCTTTAGCTTTGAATTATTTTAAGTGTTTTACTAATGTGTCAATGTAATGGAATAATGACAAATTTTCTTAATGTTCAAAGATCATTTGTATTTCCCAGAGCTGGCCATGATTATTCTATTAATGTTATACTGCTAAATTTGCTGTGCTAATTATTTAAGTTTTTTACAGCTCTGATCATTCTTGAAACTGGTGTATAATTTTTCTTCACCCTGTCCCGAACCCCACTAACCTTAATGACCTCCCTATCTAACAGGTTTGTCACGCTAACTTTCTGGCTAGTTTTCCTTTTTTCTGTATTTGGAATTGTTCAAAGAGCTTTATTTAACCCAGTGGTCCTCAACTAGGAACAATTTTGCTGTCAGGAAACACCTAATAAGGTATGGAGATATTTTTGATTGTCACTTACTTAGAAGTAGAGTGCTACTGGCTTCTACCCACAACAAAGAGTTAGCTAGTCAAAAATGCCAGTAGCATCAAAACTGAGAAATTTTGATCCAAAATCTTTAAAGGTTTGGTAGAACTCACCTGAAAACCTGAATCTGGGTATGCCTGCTGGGGAGGGGCATAAGGGAGAAAAGAGCTTACATGTGTTTTTCTCTGGGGTATTATATATTTACATTTTCTTTTATTTTTTAGCTTATTTATAACTTAAATTGTCTTACAGAAATATCCATCTTACCCCAAATTCATTGATATAAGGTGTTGCATAGTATTCTCTTGGTAATTTTAATTTTTGCTTTTTTGTTTAAAAAAATCTCTTCTTTCTGAATTTTGTTCTTTCCAGTTTTGAGTATAAATTTGTTGTTAATAATTTTTACTTCCTAATGTTTATTTTAAAATACACATTTTGTGCTGAGAACTACTTTGTTCACTTTCTACATTTGTAGTATTTTACAAATTCTATTTTGATTTCTTCTATAACCCCCAAACAAGTTGAAAGTGTCCAAATTTCTTTTCTCTTGGTGGTCTAGTCTTTCTGATAAATGGCTCTTTTTTTTCCAGACAAGGTTTCAATGTGTAGTCCTGGAACTCACTATGTAGACCATGTTGGCCTCAAACTCAAGGGATCCACCTGCCTCTGCCTCCTGAGTGCTGGGATTATAAGTGTATACCACCACACCCAGTGGAAAGGGCTCATTTTATTTGATTTCTATTTTTTATTATGACAAGTGAAAGTAGCAATTCTTTAGAATCAGTTGAAAGAAGTGGTATGTGATAGTGCAAGCCTATAACCCTACCACTTAGGAGGCAGAAGCAAGAGAAGCATGAGTCTGAGGTCAGTCATTGCAAGACCTTGTCTCCAAAAAAATTTTAGGGGCTAGGGAAATGGCTCAGTCTAAGTGCACTTGCTGGGCAAGCATGAGGACCCAAGTTTGAATCCCAGCATTCACATAAAAGTTGGGCACAGGATGAGGAGGCTGGAAGATGGATCCCAGGAGGCCTTTCAGTCTGTCTGAAATGTCAAGCTTCAGGGTTAGGCAGAGACCTCATCTCAAGGAAACAAGACAGAGAGAGAAATAGAGAAAACACATCCCAAGCTCCTCTGGTCCACATTCAAGTGCATGGGTGCACACACATGCACATACATGCACAGATAACACACAACACACACAAAATTTTTAAATGAAAGAACTGGTTGAGAAAGCCTCTTTATTCAAGCAAATTGTCAGTTTGGGCAACTATTTTTGTTGGGTAACCAACAAAAATTTTATTGCATGTTGTGTATGTTGGGCACAACGTTTTCTAATTGTATTATTCAGATCTCCTTACTTATTTTTCATCTACTCAACTTATTTCTGAAGAAGGGAATAATGGGACAGAGAAAATGGAAAATAAAGCAAAGAACAAGAATCAAAGAAAAGGAAGAAAGGGAGGGAGGGAGGGAGGGAGGGAGGGAAGGAAGGAAGGAAGGAAGGAAGGAAACAAAAATCTCTATTTCTCAAATCCTACACATAGAATTAGCCAAGTGACTGAGTTCTGGCCAATAAAATATCATAAACTGTTTAAGAAGTTTCTTGAAAAGATCTTTAAAAATGTAGCTGGCTCTGCTAACACTTTTCATTTTCTTTCCTACCCAAAAGGCAGATATAATGACAAACTTACACTGATGAGAATCTACCAATAAGGTGATCCAGAGGTGAAACCTTAGCGTGAAAGATAGCAGGAAAAGAAAGGATACCTGAAACCTGAGATAATGATAATGTTGAAATGGTTCAATCAGTCATGAATATGAATCATCTACTTCAAAATTTCTTGTGATGTTATTAAAAGAAAAATGCTTATCTTCTTTAAGATGCTACCATTTTGTTGATTTGATTTTTGAATTCTTTTTACGTGTATTGAAACTCAATCCCAAAATCAATCAGCACTTTTTTTGGAAAGAGGTACTTTAAATCCTACTCTTTTAACTGTAATTCAACCATTTCTCTGGGTTACATTAAATTTTGCTTAACATATTTTAAAATTGTAAAATTTGGTGCAAGATGGTATTTTATTATTCCCTCATGAATTTTTCTCTTTAGAAACAGGAAAACTAAACTGGGCATGGTAGCGCATTTATGTAATCTCAGCAGTCTGAAACCTGTTATAGCAGGAGTAACAAGTTCAAAACCAGTTTGGAATATACGCAAAACAAAAAACTTAAAAAAATAAGAGGCTGAGAATGTAGCTCAGTTGTTAAAACTGCTTGCCTAGCCCTGAGTTCAATCTTCCACACAGCATAAACTGGATATGGTGGTTCACATTTGTAATTCCAACATTTAGAAAGTGGAGGCAGGACGATCAGAAGTTCAAGGTCATCCTCACCTACATAGTGAGTTCCAGGCCAGTCTGGATTACATGAGACCCTGTCTCAAAAGGAAAATGGAATGAAATGAAAAAAAAGATGAGAAATTTACCCTTGTCAAAGCTTTTGGCTTTGAGCTCTATTTTATATAATTGTTATATATGCTTTGTTTTTTACTGCATTTGTGTATTTCTAATCTTTTATCTTCAAATTTTGTCAAATTGTTTCACCTGTTTTATCATAAAAATATATAGCTGTATTTACACAAGAAGAATCTGTCCTTTAAAATTATTTATTTATTTATATGTGTATGAGTTTTGTGTGCATGTATATAAGTGCACCATGTACATCCAGTGCCCACAGAGGCCAGAAGAGGGCAGATCCCCAGGAATTGGAGTTGGGAATAGCTGTTAGCTGCCATGTGGGTGCTGGGAACTGAATCTGCATCTTCTGCAATAGTGGGCAGTGCTCTTAACTGCTGACCTATCTCTCCAGTCCCAGAAGAACCTGTCTTTTAATGGAGATCTAATCCAACCATATTCTTATGATTACTGGTAATTCAAAACTATTTCTAGCATCTTATTTGTTTTCTATTTTAAAAGCATTTTAGATGTTCATTCCTCCATATTCTTGTCTTTGTTGACTTAATTTTCTTTGCTTTATCTTTTTTCTTCCACTTCTTTAAAACTTGGGTCTTTCATTTTTCTAATGGTTATGCCTATTTAACATATATGCATTAAAAATCCACAATTTTTCCACCAAGATATGGAGCTAACCAGTATTTGTAACTACTACCTGCCTCTATCTCTATCTGTCCCCATAACCCCAACCAGTAAACTTTTATTTTTCTTATTAATCTTTCTTTCTTTATTCCAACTGAGATCATCTAAATTTTAGAATTATTATATTCAGACTTGTTTCATCCATCGCTTTGGTTTCCAGTACCCTATATCTGTATCTATTAATTATGAATTAGTAGAAAAAACTATGCTTTTCATTAAGGATTTCCCTCTGGACTGACTGTATTCAGGAAAAACGGGGAAATAAAGATGTGAGACACTAGTAAATAGCTTTCTGGGTGGTATGCTCCTTGTTCTTTGTGGGTTCAAGAATCGCCCAGGTACCAGCCTCTCTCACCCACCCATACTCCTATACTCAAGGCTTCCTCCTGTGGGAAGTCATTCTATTACTGACTTCTGACCAAAGGCAAAATGAATATAGGATTAGAGTTCAACTAACTTGACTCTCATTGAGGTAACTCAACTAATTATTTTATGAATTATTCCTGGACCTCTAGCTTACAGTATTCTCCCTCCCTATGCATGTCCCAGGGTATAATTTTCATTGGTCCAATCTTCTTTTCCTCTTTTGAATATTTCCCCAAATTTGCCAGGCTTGATATTGTTAAAAAATATTTTTAAAGGGTTACAGTTTGTTTTCAGAATGCTATATTGAAACCTTTAAATTTTTAAGCCCTGAGGTTATAGTAATAGTTAATTTAATATGCACATGCATGCACAAAGGTGCACACACATGCATCCTTGTGTCCTACATTCATTATATCATTTAAAGGTACTCACAAAAAAAGAATACTTACCTGTGTTTCATTTTCTTTCTGTCTGAAGTCAATACTAGCAAGCTTCGACTGATTCACTGAACTTTCTTCTTTATTATCTAGAAAAACAATTATTAACAATTATTGTTGTTAATAATTAAACAATATTACTTCAAATTAATCCTGAGGACAAAACTAAACATGATCTCAAACTCAGAGTTTTATACATGTCAAGTTTATACTCTACCACTGAGCTACCCACCTAACCCTGGCCCTCCAACATTTAATCACAATTTATACTTTAGAAAATCAAGTTCATAAGACTATTTAAGTATAAAATTATGAAATTATTTTAAGGCTCTTAGTTTACCACTACATTCTAGTTATTATAATAACCATGAATGTGAAATGACCAAGTGACAAAACTACACTCTTAAAATTGATTACCAAAGAAGACAGTTATGGGTAATATTAAAGAAGAAAAAAAATTAAAACAGTTTAGTCAATGAAATAAAATGTTATTAACCTAATCTACAGACCTCTTGAATGAAATCTGCTTTAAACATTTCAATGATCATTACTAGTAACACAAGTCAGCTACCCCCTTAATATAGAATTATTCATCCTTCTCTGACATCTGTGCAACCAGACTTGAACACCTTTTAAAAAATTATACAAACTATTATATCCTGTTTGCTTTCAGGAAGAGTCAAGAGTCCTGTGTCTCTAAGTCCTCAGTATTGTCTGTCCTTGCTTATATCAAGTGATAACTAAAATTGTTTCTTTTTTCCCTCTCTGTGTGTTTAAAGGAAAAAAAGAAGAAAAAAATGAAGCCTTTGAATGATAAATTCTGTACCTGTAACTCTTAGTTCTGAGGAATGTATCTTTATTGATCTTAGAAACTTCTGAGATTCACAAGGAAGAAACAGCTGGCTTCTTTGAGGGGTTTCGTTTAATACAAGTACATGTTCATCTTTTTCAAAAATTCTGAAGAGAAGAGTTGATTACATTCACTATTAGTTAATTAAAAGTTAAATTTTAAATTTAGAAGGCATATTTAGGTGCTACACAGTTAAAATGTTTAATTTTTTTCAGATCATGAAACCAGGTTTAGAACGTTTAACAGACTTGCTCAATACTATTAAATTACTTGGTAGTAATATCAGTACTTTCCTGATTAAGTCCAGTGCTCTTCTCAGTAAACCACACTTTTAATTTTAAAATGACCATTTTTAAAGTAATTTTTAAACAGATTAAAAAAAACATTTTAAACAAAGACTTAAACCAACAAATAGCAGATTTAAACTTCAGAGTACTTCAAACTTTAAAAAAATTAATCAAGCCGGGTGTGGTGGCACACACCTTTAGTCCCAGCACTTGGGAGGCAGAGGCAGGCGGATCTCTGTGAGTTCAAGGCCAGCCTGGTCTACATAGTGAGTTCCAAGCCAGCTGGGATACAGGGAGACCCTGTCTCAAAAAAAAAAAAAAAAAAAAAAAAAAAAAAGACAAAAAAAATTATTCAGACACAAATCAACCAGCATAAATACAGAAATTATTATTATTAAAGCAATACTATAGTCATAAATGTGTCTTTTAAGCTTTTTACTGGAAGAGTAACTTCACTGAGATTTTCTTAAATGAAATAACTGGAATAAACACTATCAAGAATACATTACTCTAACTGAGCATGGTGGCACATGCCTTTAATACCAGTACTCAGGAGACAGGCAGATCTCTGTGAGATTGAGGCCAGCCCCACGTGAATGCCAAAAACTACCAAACTTTGCATATGCTATTTTTTTCCTATACATACACAAATTTAATATCTTTTCCATTTTAACTAAGCACTTATTACACACTGTAGCTATAACTTTTGTAGTGAGGTATGACAGTAAAAGTTAATAATAATTCCTTTTTTCCTTTTTCAGAATTTCACAGATAAATTTATCACAGATCTTAACAACCAAAGCATACTGTCTTCTGTTTTCTTTCCTTAAGTTGAGAAGTTTCACCTTTTCACTTAAATATTTTATAGCTTCTCTTTGACATAATTGCTAGCATTGCTATTCTTGTATTTGGTGACCATTTTAAAATAAAATAAGAGTTACCCTGGACACAAACACCATAGCTGATCTGGTAACTGTGATGGTTACTAAGCAACTAACGGGCAAGTAGTGTACACAGCATGGATTCACTGGACAAAGGAATGATTCACATTCTGTGTGAAACAGAACAGACTGGCATGAGAGCTCATCCTACTATTCAGACTGGTGTGCAATTTGTTTATTTCAGGAATTTCCATGTAATATTTTTGGACCATGGTTGGCTACAAGTAGCTGAAACTATGAAAGTAAAATCATGAATAGTAGAGTACAATACATACTGAGTAAACAATGACTAGATAATTGTATCAGTTCTTCTTAATATATACAAAATGTTTGAAGTGTCAATAAAACAAGATTCTATATATTTGCCAATTTTCCAGTGAATTTCATCAGAAAATTAACGACACAATACCATGAGGTAATATGTAGGAGTGAGGGGAATCCAGAAAATAACAAATCCAAGAAGATCAGGGAAATTAACGCAGGAGGAGAGTGTGTCGAAAAATCAAGATAAAGGTAAGAGTCCAAGGAATGGAGTAGAAAAACAAATGAAAATATGATGTAAGTAGAAATCGAAAAAGGAAAGTTGATTAGAAACAGCAACAACAATGCATCTATTTTTCTGCCATAAAACAGGTAAAATCAATGTATTTTTCTTAATACCTCTGCCACTGATGTCTATATTATTCTCAGTTGGACAAATGAAAATATATGATGCTACAGATTTAGTAGTATTTTGAGTATCGTCTTTATTAGGTGTGGTAAAGGAAAGACTGGTCAGGCTGGTGACCAAGTGATAAAAAGGCAAACACATTGTTGTTCTATCGTTTCTCCTATTTTACATTTATTGTGGTCCGGTCCTATTGTGAACACCTAGATAAATTACAGAACTGACAGGCTATAGCAAAGATGTTCTGCTGTTATCATATTTCTTTATATCTTTGGCCTTCCTAAATAATAAGCAGATTTGAATATTAGTTAATAATGTTTAAATAAATATTTTTCATAAGAAATTAATAGAAAATATCCTGAAAATTATATTAAGAATGAAGAATTAAAATTTTTAGATGGAGACTATCTGTTCACAAAAATCCAGCTTTAAAGTTTACCTATACCTTTCTTTCAAATCCTTTCTCTTTTCTGTATTTTTGTTCTTTTCTTCTTGAGCTTCTGAAAGAGTCTCAATTTCAAAAACTTCTGCAATTTGCTAAAAAGAAAAACAAGAAAGACAAAATAATTACCTGCAAGCCAGATATAATGGCTCACACCTGTAATCCTTAGCACTTGGAAGTATGTGGTATGAGCATCACCTGGAGTTCAAGGCCAGCCTGGGTTATAGAATAAGTTCCAGATCAGCCTGGGTTAAAATGAGAACTTGTCTCATAAAGCAAATACCTGCAGAGCAGAGACACGTGTACTTTTCTTAACAAATGATATGATTTTTTTCTATAAACGCTATTTGTATTCTTGGTAGTATTTCTTGAAAATTACTATGTCAAAATTAAAACTAAACCACACCTCATTAACTTTTTCCTATTATTAAATTAGTAAATATAGATGATTCTGGGAAGATTGCAGATCAGAAACAGCATCTATGAGATCAGGAATTTGGGTAAAACAAAGTCAAGAGAAAAAAACCACTTAATAGAGAAATAAGAGAAAGAACTATAGAAGGCAAAAAAAGAAACTAGGTTGGACTTTTTCCATAAAGAAGATAGCCACACACTTTAGTGCCTGAGGAACTAAATCCTGCCTGGAAGGAATAGAGCACCCAGTGCACCAAGAGAGACACAGAGTCAGTTTGCACTGCTGGAAACACAAATCTGAGGCTAAATGCAACCCTCAAAGAGGACACTGAATCACAGCAAACCTGAGGTAAGCACAAGGAATGGTTTGGGGAATCTGAAATGGAGCTGTCTTCAGTGCTCACAATCACACTCCATCCACCCACCTCTACCACCACAGGCCTAAAAGAAATGCTCAGAGTTCAGCAGGAGCTGAACTCAGCCTGCCCCAGTCCACCAGCAAATGAAATCAGCTCAGCCACCCATGGACATAGCACCAGAGAAAGGGCAAGCAACCCCGAAGTTGTGAAATCATTACCACTCATCATCTCCCCACCCCTGTGGAACAAGAGATCCAGTGGAACAAGAGATTCAGTTGATCCCTAGGGACAATGCAGTAGACCATAGTGCACAGACCAGAACAGCAACAGAAGTGTTGCAAGGGTATCTGATGCTTAGAGCCTCAACACCTCCAACCCCAACTACATTTGTTATAGAACTTGGTACAGTAACCTGGTGGGACAGAACTAAAGCTGGCATTCCTCCAAACAGGAAGGAGCACTGATTGAAAACATAAGACTTCTATTCATTTTAATGCTCATTTGTGTTCATATTTTTAATCTTGTTTATCTTCTATTTTCATACATACAACTTTTTTTTTTTTTTGGTCTTTCTGAGATAGTGTCTCTCTGTAGCCCCAGTTGGCCTGGAACTCACTATGTAGACCAGGTTGGCCTTGAACTCAAAGAGATTTTCCTGTCTCTGCCTCTGAATACTGGGATTAAGGACATGTGCCACCATGCCCAGCTATATACAATTTTTAATTTTCTTAAATTCTTTAATTTTTTTCTTCTTAGTATGTACATATTTATACTTCAAATGTTCAGTTCATGTGTTCTAAGTTGTATCTTGTTTGAAAAGGCTCTTATGTCTGTCCTTTTCTCCAAATGATATTTTTCTACTGGTTTTCATTCCTCTAACCCATATATTTTCCTTCTCATTCCTATGCTACCCCTGCTTACCCCTTCCCCATTCCTCCTTCACTTCACTACTTAAATACTGATACCCCTAACTCTAACATCAAAGGAAAACTCCATAAACATTTTTTTCCAACAAGGACCCTAGTACTCCTGTACTGTAGAAAACACAATGCAGAACTTTAAAAAACATGATGCAGCATTCTATTATAACAATCCCCCAAGCTGATAGTCTATTAATAAAAGAAAACAAAGGCAATGAGATAACTGAACCACCAGAAAAAGATTTCAGGATCCTTTTTCTAAAAAGAATCAGTAACTAAAGGACTCAAACAGATAAGTAATTCAAAATCTGAACAAGAATGTTAGGAAATCAATTGAAGGCAAGGGCAAGAGCATATCTTGTAACAACCATTTTTAAGCATGGAGGAAATATCTTACAAGGAAACTGAGGCATCTAAACACAGGACACATTTAGAACCCCAAATAATCATGATTACAGAAGAACTTCTCCACAACATGTGGTCAAGATGTCAAAAACACAAAACAGGGGCTTGAGAGATTGTCCAATGGTTAAGAGAACTGACTGCTCTTGCAGAAGACCCAGGTTCAGTTCTCAGAACCCACATGACAGCTAACAACCAGGGGACCTGACCCCCTCTTCTGACCTCCAAGAGCACTGCATGATATAGGCGCACTTACATACATGCAGGCAATACATTCATACACATAAAATTAAAATAATAAATAAAATACTTTTTAAAAACAATACAAAAAGCAAAAATGCATATATATTTGCTTATTCATTTAATAAATAAAATCCCTATAATAAAAGTTGGTTTCCCTGT